ATGCTAGAACGCATGCGTCTTACATGTTGAGCTCTACCATAAGGAAAACCACTCAACATTTGTGCGTGATTCCGTATGCAATGTATCTTTCACCTAATATAGAAGCCACGAGCGCTAACTAATCTACGCATGCGTTTAGGGCAAATTAGTCTTGTTCTAAGGAGAATGGTACCACAAGGAGAGCAAGAAGTTACCTGAAACAAATATATAGCTTTGCGATATTCAAAGTGAAGTGACGGCGATGGAATGTGTCTTACGTAGAGTACACATGTACCTTTCCCACCCTACCCCCACTACTTCCTTGCCTCTGGGCTAATTAATTAATTGAAATTAATTAATTAAACAAACATTAACGTTTTTACCTTAGCGCCATAGGGCCATAGCACAATAGCGCCTTAGTTCTTTAGCGGCAGGCAGCCCCCATAACCATCCCAATAGTGCACTCTGCACTAACAAGTTGTGAATTTAAACCATTTTGAATCAAGAACAGCTGTCTACGCATTTATGGAGAACTTGTTTGCAAAGAATTTTTCAGGTCTCTTTACAACTCATGGCGACTACATCGTACATCCTAGCTGAAATTGCACGAAGTTCGTTTATTGGTCGTGACGACCCGAGTGAATTGTGCAGCTGAACATCTTTGCCGTCTTGCGATCTTAAACCCTTTTCAAGAGTCATATCTCCTGTGGAGAGCGAATAATCTCTTTCGAGAGAGCCAAAACGAATATCATGATAAACTCTTTTGCGAAAACAATACTTTACGACAAGGTGTCAAATTACATTGCACACAATTTGCATAAACTTTCAGGTTGCGTTTTTGCGGATAATTTCGGAGAATTTGCAACCTTTAAACGCAGTTTATGAAGAAATATATTCAAGCTACATATTTTTTTTATTGAATCAAATTAGGAGTATTTTTAGAAAGGAACTCATTTATAAGGGAAGATGCGGCATTCTGCTTTGCTATTTATTTGGTTTCGTACTCGTCTAGTCAGTCTTGTCGCGCAACATGATTTTCCTTAGTAGTCAGACAGTTTTCTAAAAGAATTGGCGATTGCTAAGACTGTTAAGTATATTTGAACTACTAGTGAAATATATTTGGCTAAACTATCGTCAATGTAGATTTTTCTTAGGACTTGGCAAGAACATTTGTTCGTCAATAATCCCGCACAATTCCCCGCACAATTTGCCTCCAAAATCATACAATGATATTTTTGTTTCCTGCACCCTAGTAGAAAGCCAACTTACTTGGAGCATACTAACTATGCTTGGAGGTATGATATGTAATTCAAGTTGCCGAAAGTCTTATCTTTACAAATTTGGAGATCGACATATTTTGCGCGGTGCCAGAAACAAGTCGCATGTTTTAATACGCTCCGAGTCCAAAAACGTTCTCGTATTTAGCTCGTTTTATTACAATATGATTTGTTTTACTGCCATGTTCTAAATAATAACAGCAGTAGCCACATACCGTCATTGAGTGCCTATTTTTTGACAGTGTTTTCGTAGTTTGAACTCATACCGCGATCGGCTCAATTGTTATCTCAGGAGAACGTTTCGAGCGTGAACTTTGCTTACCTGGCTGGCTTTCAATCAATACTGATAATTCGTGGACCGACTCTTTCCTAAAACGATCGATATCTTTGTATGTGAGATGAACGTATAAGGCGCCATTATTGCCAAAACTCTCTTCGCAAAACACCGCATTCTGCCCCGAACAGCGAGCAATGTCGCGTTCTCGTCCCCAGTTCCACGGTCTACGCAGGGAACGCCTGGGACCATGACGAACAACGGCTTGCATTTTATGACTCGGGCTTTCCCACGGAAGCCCGAGTAAAAAGGCCTTAAGTCGTTCATTTTGGCCATTTGTTACGTTTAAATAGTTCACGTTTCACACAGAATGGTAAAAGACTTAAGCAAACAGTAAATAGAGAAAGGAAAAACATCTTGGAACATTTTTCAAAAGAATTAGAAGTTGGGCTGTTATAATGCATTAAAACTGTCGTAAGCCACCTCAAACATCAACTGATTTTCTAAAAACGAAAAATAAACCATTTGCAGTTGAAGGTCCTGTCACCCCTAGGGCTTCTGACAGAAAATAATTCATTCTGTAACATTATCATTACCAGAACCTTACCATTTACAGTTAATCGCACCACTTCGCGTGAATCCCCCAGGATGTTTGTTGCTGAACACTGATACAATCCTGCGTCACTTCCTGTCACATGATTTAACTGCAACTTTCCTTTTGAAACCGCTGATTGAGCGATTTCTGCGGACTGATTGTTCAGTTTACTCCACGCTACTGCTGGCACAGGATTACCGCTGGCCGAGCACTGAAACGAGGCTGGTCCACCTTCGTTCACTGTCAACGTCACAGGAGAAACAAAAACAGCAGGAGATGATATCGTTTCGCCGGGCTCGCCTTTCGTTCCCGGCATGCCTGCAGGCCCTATATCTCCTTTCTCGCCTTTGGTTCCAGGCTCTCCCTCTAACCCCGCAGGTCCCATAATGCCTTGTTTGCCGCTCTTTCCTGGCGATCCCATAATACCTTGTTCTCCTTTGTTTCCAGTTCTTCCTTTCTGTCCTCTTCGTCCCCGGGCTCCTTTTGTCCCAGGTGGACCGGGAGGGCCTGGCGGACCTGATGAACACGTGACACCTTTGGACTGGCAGAGATACAATCTCCCAGATGATAAGAGTTTGTTTATTTTGAGCATCGTTTCCGCTGTACCGTCAGTTTCAGACGCGTTCTTAGTTGATACAACGTGACGTCTGTTTCTACGCATGTTTTGAATTTCTACCAACAAATAGAAACAGTACCTCAGTGAATGAAATAAATTCTATATTTTATAGTCACCAAGGCGAGGGAGAAAACTATTCCTTTTTCAGGTTAATGACTTAAAAAAGTTTGCCGGACTGGTCGTTAAATAAAGGACCACTGGCTTTTCAATTAGGAGTAAAACAAAAACCTCTTAAATGCGTTTTTTTGTCAACCCCTTACAGCCAGGAGGACTGAGAAAAATAACTGATGTAGTATTAAATTAGACGTTTAACCCTTTGAGCCCCAATTACGCATATATGCGTAATTATAGGTCGTGCTCTTTCTACCACTTGTGACGTCATCAATTTAAATGTCATCAGATATTCTTGATAAGCAGATAGTAGTACTAGGCTAGGCCTTTCCGCACAATGGTCAGGTTTAGATATCGACGACATTCCGACGTCGCAAATCGAAAAACAACATCATCAGTTTTGGTGCAAAAACGGTGGTAAAATGGTCCACTATGCCTATGATTGACCATTTCTAGGCTTCCCCCGTAATTAACATCCAACTTTTCACGGCAGCCAGAAAGAAAATGCAACGCAAAAGACAGCCAGAGTAAAAGGGCCGAGGAAAAAAGAAAGGAAAGGGGCAACAAACAAAATTGAGAACGGTTAATGGCATGCCTTATTGCTCAATTTTGTACGTAATCCTCGAAAAATCTCTCCTTTTGGTAAGAAAAGCTGTCTTAGCAAAACCTAGGCTTATTTAGCGTCATGGCAGCCCAAAAACCTGACTAAACGGTTAAAAACGGTACTTTTTGGCAAAACTTTGGTATTCAAAGGGTTAAGACTTTTCATTAGCAACAAACTTCGCGTAATGAACGCTGGCACAGAAAATCTTTTCGAATCTTTCACAAGCGACTGTGAGTTTCTCCGTGCTAATTTTTGTTCCTGGCCGTTAGATCATATTTGTTACGATTAAAGGCAATTTTGTACGAATGATTGCTTTTGTTCTGAAATTGTCTGCATTTGATTTGAAAGAACTTGACCTGCTAACCTCCAAGTTTGTTTGCCACAGCACACAGGAAGCAGTGAGAAGTGCGACAACACGCAACTATATTTGTTCGGCATTCTTTGTTAACATTTAATCGCTTCTAAATTACCATCAGGACTAAGTTGTAAGAGTCAAAACATAATGGTAACTCCTAGATCGTACTTTATTAAGATCAACTTACCAGCAGCATTCTTGATTTTCATGTCTGCGTCGTTTGACTTCGGCTTGGCCTCTGCAATGTTTTCAAGAGCGTTTATTCTGTTCTTCTGCTCGTTCATCTCCAGTTCTACTCTTATAAACCCAACGCAGTAAAACACAATAGACAGAACAGAAATGATGGAAGAAAACGAAGGCAGTGTATTCTTTTGAACGGCGGCCATTTCGGTCGGTGATTTGAACAATCTAAAATTCTACTTCAGCTCGTTACGTGATACTGCGATCACGAGCATACCATAAGCTCAAATTAGTTTACGATTTGAAATGCTATTGGTTTTCAATGTGACATTTTAGTATGTGCTGAAAGACTCAGAATTTTCTAGACTAAAGGGGCTAGGTCACGCAATTTTAGGCAATTTCAGCACTGATCAAATGGTCATAGAATTAACTAAAATATCACAAAAACGGCTCAAAACTACAGAAGATCTCAAACAAAACACAGGAAAGCCAAGTAGGGACATGGATGGACAAAACTGAAGAGGATTAAAATGGATTGCATTTGGGTAAATTTGAAAAACGTCGGCCCACCTTTTTTCAAATTTATATCAGTTTATATCAAAATGTCATTTCCACAGCTGGAAAATCATTCTCAGTTGTTTATGTGGCCGTGATTTTGCAAATGAAAGACTTTTGCTCTGCCAATATGACGTTTAGTGCTCATAATTAACAAAAATTAAACAAAATTAAACAAAATTACCTAAAATAGCGTGACCTAGCTCCTTTAAACTGAGCTGTCAGCATTTCCGGAGTACACCATCACATAGGAACTACATTTACAGACTAAACCTTTCCATTACCCAAGTCAGAGCAGCAAGTCAACAGGAATTTTGCGTCTTTTTTTAATGGCGATTGTGAACCAGTACAAATTCCATGTAGAATGAGTTTCTTCGCGCAAAGGGTCACTTCTAAACCCACTCACCAAGAGAACAAAGTTCAAATTCGTCCTGGCCTGGCGCATTCTAAAATTAGATGCTTTTGAAATTTGAACATGCTACATATGTAAGAAGTCATTATTTTGATTTCGTTTCCAGGGTTGCGACTTTCCGAAACACAGTATTGACAGTCCACTTTATCCTCTTGCTCTTATTATTAAAGATTGTTGGTCGGGAGTGATAAAACGTGAGGGAACTGGGTGGCTCCCACACGAGCTGACTTTTGGCACATTAACTTATCATGCATGTTTCAGATACGCTGATTTTAACCAGACTCGCGCGTCACGCACAGCAGTCAGCCTTGGGGGCGTGCTCGAGCGCGGGAAAAATGAAGTCATACTCGACGGACTTAGACTACGAGTACTCCCTCTTTCTCTTAGTTCGTGAGACGCGAAAGAAAACCGCAAAAAAAAAAANCCAAGATCCTAGAGGAGAGAAGCTTCTTGCCCCCAGGATCTCGGGCGGCCATTTTCTCCCGCGGTTTTCTTTCGCGCTCGACGGACTAAGCGAAAGAGGGACTACCGGCGTAGTCTACGACAGAGTAATAAAAGAGGGGTTGCTTCATGTCTAGTCGTTGCACCACAGATTTCAGAATATAATCGCTTCAATGAGAGACAAAATATACAATCTCTCCACGATTTTTTCATTTGTTTTGAGGTAGACAGAAATACAAGTGTTTCACTTTTAACCGCAAAATGGTCAGTTTTTCCTCAAAAAAGATAAGATGGTTTTGTGCTTTGAATTGATCCGCGCGTTGTCCAGGTAACACGCATACGTAATTGGATTTGGGTTTGTCCAGACAGGTATGTGACCAGGTAACACATGTTTGGGCCTTGCGAGGTAACACGTACTTAGGTCTGGAATAAACAGCAACACACAAAAGCAAGTCGACTCTCATTCTGTGTTTTAACAAGTTTATAGCACTGTTATAGACTACACATTTTTTACCCGTGTACGATTATCGAATTAAACTCTGTGTTGTCACTACAACTATGCATTGACGCGACGTATCATTTCGGAAACGTCCCTGGAAGTTGGCTGAGTCAGGCGAAGAACACGTGGTCTTGGCGTGTCCGGAGAGAATTGTAAATCCATCAACCCAGAGGTCGAAGCAAGGTTTCTTTCAAATTGCATCGTTTTCTGTAAGCAGACCAAATTAGAATGAAGGCATCATTAGCAAAATCCTCTTCTCCCCAGCTATTCAGCCTCAAAACAATATCGGAATAGGAAAATGACCATCCGTAGGTAATTGGATGTTTTAAGTTACCCGTCCAGAACAACTTTTGCTTTGAATGTTCAGTGCCGTAAACCACTGCCAGGAAAGATTTCCGTATAACCCCATACATTTATTATGCATGCAGAATTATTAATTATGTATGTGCTCTATTGTTTTTGAAGACAATAGCAACTTCCTAAGGTATTGAGTATATACATTGATAATTACTACTTACTGTGTGAATAAAAGAGGATTTGATTGCGCGCTGTGGCGCGCTATCGCGCGTTGGCTTTTCGCCGATTCTCTTCTTTCCCTAGCTCCATTCGTCCCTCTTTTTCTTCTCCATATACCCAGGCTCCTTACGGATTTTTTTCCCTTTTTTCTCTTGTACCCCATCAGGTCTCGAACCACTTACCTTTCGCACACCTCTCGCTTACCAGTCTCTCTTCTACA